TGGATAAAATAACAAGACAAAACTACTCAATTAGTCCCACCTCAAACTCTCGGACCTTTGTGAGAAAATATCAAACTAACTCTACTAAAAAAATTTCCACCTCTCATTCTATTAGTAATTAAGTATAGTTGTCCAATAAACCAAAATAGAGGAAATACAATTACAGAGGGATACAAAACTTTTGTAATATATAAATAATATGTATACATACACTTTTTTTATATTTAAATACAAGGTATTATAGAGTGCGTAGACAAAACAAAATCAAATTCGGAGTTACAAGAGTTGAATTATAATTTTTGTTAAGAGAAATCTAATGACTGGAAGGTGGAGAAATTATAATAGTTTTTCTCAAAATTAATATCCAATTGGAAGGCGTAAATCGACCCATAACTACTAGAGCATGATGACCATATTAATATTGAAGCCCTAAGAAAAGATGTTGATCCAACTCCAATACCATGCTGCATATGAGCGTTCTCTGTAGAAATATGTTGGAAAAATTACGGCCTAACTAGTATATTAATCACATAGAAAATTAAAATATAATTTACACAAGTAAAAACACAATTTAATGCATAATGATATACACTATGCTAATGCACATGAAATTTGATTAGAGAATCCTGAAAACTAATTGTCGAGTGAAGAACTTGGTTCTCTCCATAAGACAATTTACTGCCCTACTACGGTACTCATAATTGATTGACTCTTATCTCATATGATACAACGATCACCTCCTTAGGATAGTAGCACACCGGCTCCAGTCAACTACGATTGTGTTAAACTCTCTCAAAAGACTCACTAAATCTCTAAGTATGTTATGGGTCACTTGAACTTGTATGATTCTGCCACAATAGGATGAGGCCTTTAGATGTAGAAGTGACTCCTTAAAATAGTCGTGTCTTTTCTTGAACGGTCAATATTTACATCCCTTCAATCAAAAGGCAAAGGTTGCATCATTTATCTTTATTTGAACATCCACAACCTTATTAATGAAAAGCCACAACTCATCAAACATAATGTCCAATCGCATAAAATAATTTAATCAGTTTGAATTAAATCTTCCAACAAAGTAAACCATGTTTGATTATTTTGATACTATTGTGAAGCATGATCCCAATAGCCACCATTAATTTGTTGCATATTGGATGCATAGTAATTGACAACATAAGTATTTAAGGGCACGTTTGTTTGACAGGATTAGCAAGGCTTGGACTGGACTAGACTATAGTCCTGTGCTTGGTGTGCATCCGGATTAGCTTTAATGAGCTTAACCCGGACTCGCGTGGACTAACGACCTCCTTAGCCGTTCTTCGCGAGGAACCCCAAAATTGGGCGGACTCGTAAGCTAGAGCAAACCGAGAGAGATCTTCCCTTCGTCCTCATCGCTGCCTTCCCTTCGTCCTTCGTCCTCATCGCTGCCTTCCCTTCGTCCTCATCTCAGCGTCCCGTCGAAGCCGGTGCGGAAGACGAGTTCCGTGGCCAGAGGGGTCACAAGTACCGCCCCGTCGTCGACAACGATCGGGCCGTGCTCGAGATGTCGCCCATGGATCCTTCCTCCTCCTCTTCTTCGTCGTCTTCTCTCCCGGTTCACCAGACTTCCCTCAAGTATGTGTGTTTTCTGTATCTAAGACTTAGGGATTTGAATGGTGGTTTAAGAATGAATTTTGATGCGTTATGTTTTTGGTTTAATGGGTTAATTGTCGAAAATGAGTTAAACCCACAAGTTCACTTGATGATTTAAGCTTTGTGTATGGTGAATTCTTGTCTGAAATCGAACATGGGTTAAACCCAGAAGTGCAAGTTGATGCTTTAAGCTTTGTGTATTGTTAATTCTTGTCGGAAGTCGAAAATGAGTTAAACCCACAAGTGCAATTGATGCTTTAAGCTTTGTGTATTGTTAATTCTTGTTGGAATTCGAAAATGAGCTAAACCCACAAGTGTAATTTGATGCTTCAAGCTGCTTTGTGTATGACGAATTCTTGTTGGAAATCGAAAATGAGTTAAACCCACAAGTGCCCTTGCCAGAATGTTGTTTCTTAAGTGAACTGAGCTATTGAATTCAAAAAATGGGAAATCATAAGATGCTTGGATTCTGAATCCTAATATAAAGCTCTGCCCAAATAGGAGAGTGCTGATCTTGTTACAGCACAAATTTGGGTTAGACTGATGAAACTGTTGGGGGTGGTTTAGGTTTAACTTAGAAAATCTTGTTCCTTACAGCACAAGTTTAGGTTTAACAGTTCTTTTTTTATTATCCTGCTTCTTAGTCCGAGACTGCACCAAACGCTTCACTAAGTTAGTCCAGCTTAGTCCAGTCTAAGCCAGTCCAGCTTAGTCCCTGCAGCTAGTCCAGTCTGAGACAGTCCGGCGCAACAAACACACCCTAAGGGTATTGGGTGGGGAATGCAAGTTTGCTCGATTGAGATAAATCATGATAGTTTAAGACTTAAACCATGTCTGGACTACCGAATAAAACACGACAGTTTCATTTTTGGATTTTTATCACAATGGTATACAAAATTGACCTATCAAATCAAAATGGTCTCCGAATTTGAAATTGATCAATTTTTTCCTTGAAAATAGGTCCCACAAATCAATTTGGTCACTATGTCTTCTCTCCGTCAAATACTTTGTTAATATATTGACATGGTACACAAATGAGACCTATATATTGTTGGAAAATATTAGTACTTAGGTTTATTTAGTATTTGGGTTTTGCTTGTTAGTTTAGGATTTGGGCTTAGCTCATCCGAGTTAGGGTTTCTTAGGTTTAGTTCTTTATAAATATTGCTTGTAATTTAGTTTGAGAAACAAGTTAGTCACAATATAGTCTCTTAGGGTTTTGTAGCCGTTTCGGCATTCTCGTTTGTTTAATAATATTCTTATTATTTTGTTAGTCTCGTTCGTTGCACACTCTGATATTCAACTTGGTATCAAAGCGGGTTCAATCCTTAGGGTTCAATCCGTTCTCATTGGTATCAAAACCAATCCCTGGTCGGATGTATGCCGACGAGGATGTCGGACCCCTAAGGGGGGTGGATTGTAACATCCCACATCACCTAGAGGAGTGGATCATGTAAGCTTTATATGTATATTCTCATCTTTTCCTAGCATGAGGCCTTTTGGGAGCTCACTAGATTCGGGTTCCATCGGAACTTCGAAGTTAAGCGAGTTCGCCTGAGAGCAATCCCAGGATTGGTGACCCACTGGGAAGTTGCTCGTGTGAGTTCCTAGAGTTCCCAGAAACAAAACTGTGAGGGCGTGGTCGAGGCAAAACCGTGAGGACGTGGTCAAGGTTCAAAGCAGACAATATCATGCTACGGTGGAATCGAGCCCGGAATGTAGTGGGGGCCCGGGCTGGGATATGACAATTTATATCTAATGAAGCAGCTATATTAGTAACAAAATTTTTAAGCTTGATAACATGTTGGATTTTAGAATGATGATGTACAAGAAAATAAAAAATGTAAATAATTACAAAAATTATTTTTTGTAATTGGCTAACAAAGTTGAAAAAGTAAAAAGTGATTAGTTTAGGCTAAAACTGCTCGAACCAAACTGTTGAACATCAGATTCACTTGATTCATATTCCTTTGAGATTTTGTTAAAACCAAATCGAACAACATCGTTATATTATAACTGATTTGATCGTTATATCATAAATTTAAAATGATAACTATAATTGTATACGAGGTTCAATTTTGATTATTATTTCAAATTTCTTAAAAAGGGTTTACATCATAAATGATTCTTGAAATTGACCAATACATCAAGATGATTCCTAAAATTAAAAAGTGATTATTGTAGTCCTTAAAGTATGTGTCGCAAATCAATGTGATCATTCATTCACGATTTTGTCAAAAATTTATTATGTGCTGCCGTGGCACATAAATGGGTCTTACAAGTCATTTTTTTTAATCACAAATGGTCTCTAAAATTGACTTACACCATCAAGATGGTCTATAAAATTGAAAATTGATTAATGTAGTCCTAAAATAGATGTCTCAAATTAATGTAGTCATTTGGTGGTAACTTTGTAAACAAATTTGTTATGTGCGGATGTGGCACGTAAATGGACCAACAAACTCGGTTCCGCAATCATGAATTAGAAATAGGTCTAATAATTTAATAATTAATTAAAAAAATTGTCAACTCAGAAACTTGGTCCTGCAATCATCTCTTATCTCAACCCATACTCCTCTACCTCCATCTATGGTAGCCTTCACCGTCTCTTTCCTAAAAAATAAAAATAAATAAATAAATAAATTTCTCAAGACATCCATATTTACATCCTTTGACATCCTTTATTGAATTGACCAAGATGGAGACCACCTTTGGTGACGGTTTGGATTGGTGACGACTTTTGTGATTCTACCGTCATCATTTGAGCGATCGACATCCTCATAACCTTAATCTTAGAAAGCTTATTGAGTGCTCGCCCGGGGATCTTGACGACATGGAGAACGACAAGCTTTGCCTTGAGATAATCTCACTGTGCAAAAAGGTTTTTATGACAATTTTTTTAATTAATTATTAAACCTAAATCATCATATAGTAGATTTTTTGCCAAATTGTAACAGAATGACCACATTAATTTGTAACACATATTTTCAAGGATTACGTTGATCAATTTTCAATTTAAAGGTCCATCTTGATTGTGCGGATTAATTTCAGGTGCCATTTGTGATAAAAACTCTTACATCTTGTGGGCTCTATTTATGTGTCACATTTGTACATAAGAATTGTGACAGAAAAACCATATTGATTTGTAACACCTATTTTCAGGAACTACCTTGATGAATTTTCAATTTCAGAAACCATCTTAATGATGTGAGTTAATTTTAGAGATTACTTGTGATATAAATTTTTCTTAAAAATCACTAGAGCTAGAGTTAATTCGATGATGAAAGCAAATACTATTAAAGTTCAAGTACCAAAGTGCAATTCAGGTATACTCGAGGGACCATCGTAACAATTTAGTGTTTTTCTCTTTCCCCTTTCCCGTAGGCGGTGACAGAGAAAACTGGGGCTGTGATGGCCAGAAGCACCCAATCAAAATCTACTCGTCTTATATACTATAGCAAGGAAGGGCATATTTCCTCGAACAATCTGGCTATTTGAACCGTGGCGGAGGGGCTGCGACTGAGGATCCGCCGTACAAATTGGGGCTGTGAAAGCAGAGGTTTGGCTGCAATTGACGACCTAATCGGCGACGGCCGCCGGTTCGGCGTTCTGGAAAGACCTAGGTGGCCTGGTCGACCCAAAAGCACATGGACCACCGGAAGCAACCCAAGGATTCTCTCTCCTACTCCAACCTTTTCAATCTTGAGGTTTGTCCCTTGAATTTTTCTAGCATGGGTTCTCTTTGTTTGCTCGAATTACAGCGTTTCTTGTCCTTTTTGCTTTTTCTTTGAATTGGTAAATTTTGTGCTTTAATGTTTATAATTCACTTGTTTTTGAATTGGGAATGTTGAATTTTGTTTTTTTTTTTTTATGGACTAAAGTTTGTTGATTTTTGTTGCACATTGTAGTCTTTGATGAACTTTCAAGTTCCCCGACCGGATGACGATTTCGATTATTATGGAAATAGTAGTCAGGATGAGAGCAGAGGTAGCCAAGGTGGGCAATTTGTCTTAGTTTTTGGAGTTAAGCTTTTTATGACCAAATTTATTTGTTTTTCTGCTTGAAAATTTGCATGTGTGATATACATTTGTATATGGTTGCTGTCGGTTGGAATGGTGATTTGCGGACTTATAGATGTGCATGTTTGTGATTTTTTTGCCGGTTGTATGTGTAGATGGAGCTGTAGGTAATGGGATGATGTCTGACAGAGAACTGAGTTCAGTGAAAAAAAGAAGGCGATCCCAAAATAGTGACTACGAGGACGATGACAGTTATTACGGGACACGCATTACAGAGGAAAGGTATCGATCAATGCTTGGAGAACACATCCAGAAGTACAAAAGGAGGTTCAAGGATTCCTCGTCGAGTCCTGCACCAATTCAGACGGGGATTCCAGTTCCAAAGAGTAATAAGGGTTTAAAATCAAGGAAACTGGGCAATGAGCACCGGGGAGGGATATATGAAATGGAAACCTCATCAGAGTGGCTCAATGATTCTAATCCTCAAAAACCCGGGAACCACCATGATGGAGATTTGGTACCACAACGTGGCACCGATAGGTTTGCTTTCTCCTCTAGTTTCCTTTTCAGCATGAGTTATTCCAATCGCTAAGCATGTGCATGATGATTATATTAAATTATTTGGTTATTATATTTTCATCTCTGTATTTCATGCAGAATAATCTATGAACCTCCTTATCTGGATATAGGAGACGGTATCACTTACAGGATTCCACCAATTTACGATAAGCTGGTGTCGTCTTTGCACTTACCGAGCTTTTCAGATTTTCGGGTGGAGGAAGTTTACTTAAGAGGCACATTGGACTTGGGATCCTTGGCAGAAATGATGACTAGTGACAAAAGGTTGGGTCCTAAAAACCAGGCAGGGATGGGTGATCCCCATCCCCAGTATGAATCCCTTCAAGCTAGACTAAAGGCATCGTCCACTTCAAATTCAGCCCAAAAGTTCAGCCTCAAGGTCTCTGATATTGGGTTAAACTCTTCCATCCCAGAGGGTGCAGCTGGAAATATAAAGAGATCTATTTTGTCTGAAGGTGGAGTTTTACAGGTCTACTATGTGAAAGTTTTGGAGAAAGGAGACACGTATGAGGTTTGTGTTCCTTCACTTATGATTATCTCGGGACAATAATGTTTCTTTGCTGGTGGGTATAGGCTGGGTTGTGGGTGTGTCTTCCTTTTCATGTGACATCTTGGGCTGGTTTCTCATTAATGTTTTGTCCTGCAGATCATTGAAAGAAGTCTACCGAAGAAGCAAAAGGTTATTAAAGACCCTTCTGTGATTGAGAAGGAGGAAATGGACAAGATTGGGAAAGTTTGGGTAAACATAGTAAGAAGAGACATGCCAAGGCATCATAGGATTTTTTCAAATTTTCACCAGAGGCAACTAGGTTATGCCAAGAGGGTCTCAGAGAACTGTCAAAGAGAGGTACTTATATGTGTACGCCCTATGTAGTCTTCTACTTGTTTCCCCTGCACAGAATGTGAGATGTGGATTTCAATACCCAAACTTGGGGATTGGTTTTCATCAGATGGCATTTATAGTTCTTATACTGAAGCTGTCTACTTTTTTATTTTTTGTAGGTGAAATTGAAGGTCAGTAGATCTCTTAAACTGATGAGGGGTGCCGCAATTCGTACAAGGAAACTAGCCAGAGATATGCTACTATTTTGGAAGAGAATAGATAAAGAGATGGTATCCTTCCTTTCTCCTTTCTGAAGGGAATTGAGTACAAGAAGCTTTTTATCCTATTGCTCTTAAATTTAGTCATCTTTAATGATGTGTAGTTGCCTGAAATTCATTTTCTTGAAAATTCATGTCTAAAGTTCTGTAGATCTTCTGTCAGATCATTCCCTTAGAGATTTAACTGTCTATAATTTTGATTATTATCAGTATGGAAGGCTATCTTGCATTATTTGGTTGTAATGTGTACTTACTATCTGTTTTTTTTCTTTCTTTTGACAAAACTTGGTAATTTTTTATTTTAATTTTAAATATGGACACTTGCAGGCGGAAGTGAGGAAAAAAGAGGAGAAAGAAGCAGCTGAAGCTTTGAGGCGCGAACAGGAGCTTCGAGAAGCAAAGAGACAGCAGCAAAGGCTCAATTTTCTTATACAACAGACGGAACTTTACAGTCACTTTATGCAGAACAAGTCAAGTTCACAGCCGTCAGAAGATCTGCCTGTTGGTGATGGAAAAAAAATGGAGGAAAAAGCATCTTTAAGCTCCTCAGATGATGAAGCTAATGAGGAAGAAGACCCTGAGGAAGCTGAACTGAAGAAGGAGGCTTTTAAAGCAGCTCAAGATGCAGTTTCAAAGCAGAAAAAGATAACTAGTGAATTTGATAATGAGTATTTGAAGCTATGTGAAGATGCTGAACCTGAGGCAGCACATGATGTTGCTGGAGCTAGTAGCATAGATCTACATAACCCGTCAGTTACTCTTTCCTTTATTGTTTTAGTATTGCCTTTCATTCGGACTCTATCAGGAAATTGGAGGCAAGGCTTTTTCAGTCAAATTGATAATGTTTCTATTATTATATGTGCAGTTCCACAATGCCTGTAACATCAACTGTTCAGACACCGGAGTTGTTCAAAGGATCCCTTAAAGAATATCAGCTGAAAGGCCTCCAGTGGTTGGTTAATTGCTATGAGCAGGTTCGTCTGTACCCAAATGGATACACATAATATGTACAAGTACAGTTTAAATTCCTTGATTCGTTTTATTGTTTATAGGGTTCATTTCTTTCTTTTCTTTTCTTCTGTTTATCAGGGTTTAAATGGCATCCTTGCTGATGAGATGGGCCTAGGAAAGACCATCCAGGCCATGGCATTTTTGGCTCATTTGGCTGAGGTAATAGTTCGACTTGGTGTTTTATGCATAATGATTGTCTTTGGTGTAACTTGGGTTTCTTGTCCTATCCAGGAGAAAAATATTTGGGGGCCTTTTCTGGTTGTTGCTCCTGCCTCTGTCTTGAACAACTGGGCAGATGAAATTAGTCGTTTCTGCCCTGACTTAAAAACTCTTCCATACTGGGGAGGACTTAACGAGCGTCAGGTACTTAGGAAAAAGATCACTGCTAAAAAACTTTACCGCAGGTAAATTTCTTTGCCCTTGCTATCATTTTACACTTTCAAGAGAAGAATAATATGAATGGCTGGTCTTAGAAGTAGATTAGTGCTTGAGACGGTGTCTGAGCAGGCTTGCAACAGTCTGAGGCCTTAGATGGAAAATTTAGTGTTTATAAGGAATATATTAACTAAGTTTTATACATCAAAAGTTTCTTAGCTAAATCATATTTCTTTACTTTTAGAAAATGCAATTGTGAACAAAGAAAACAATACTAATAAAACAAAGAACTATATAGGTTTTAGAGAGCATTGTGTAATAAAAAAAACAATAGGACCTGTAAAACTGGTTGTAACTCCAGCAAGATTTGTATAATTTCTTCTTATAGCTCTTTAAAAGAAAACATTGTTTCAGTTAATCATTTTTGAACAGTGAATCCGAGTCTTTGACCAAACTAATCACTAGGCCCCCCCCGCCTGACCCCACAACATTTGGGAGGCGAGAAACTCTAGCATTTGCTAGGTGGGTACCGTAGGAGACAGTCGAACTGCAGACCACTTGGGAGCAAACCAAGGACCTGACTGCTAGACCAACTCCTCTTAGGTCATATTGGTGTGGACTGAAGATTTAGGTCATTGTGTTTCATTGATGCGTATGCTTATTTGGGAAATTACACCTTTAAAGCCATTGAATAAGAAATGAATAGGGTTGTTTTGCTAGGCCATTGTATTTCATTGATACATAAAATGGTCAATAATTGAAAAAACCTCCTCACTTCAATCAGTAGCATTGGAAGTCATCCCTAGATTAGTGACAAATAAGATTTGGAGGCGGTAGAGAGAACGGTAATTAGAGAGTGCCACTAGATTTTTATTTCTCAAAAGTACGCCTTAACTTAAGGGGGCCTTAGGTGACTGCTTAAGGTGCTTTACCCATGAGCTGGCCCTGGATGGTGTCCTATTCCATTAATTCTGTGTCTTGGTAATTTTGTTTTTCTTAGATATTTTAGCTATATTAAAAAGTATTACTGTACAATTTACTATGGCTGACCATGTAAGGAAGTTTACAGCAATACGTGTTGGTTTTTTATTGTTGTGTTAGTATCCCTTGTGCAGAAAACATTAAGGACACAATAGGGGATTGACTGATTGTTTGGAATTTGGAGAACAAAACTATATACATTATAGAAAAGTAAAAGGGATCTGTTCCAAAAAGTCCTTCTGCATTTCTCCCTAGTGTTATTTCTTCCCTAAGTTTCTCATGGGGAGAGTGCAGATTGACTATTTTGGGGTGCCAATAACAGCACCCAAGTAAATGTATGCATATTGATTTGATTGTTTTTTCATGCACCACACATAATATCTAGAAGTGACCTTTAGGGCACAGAAGCTTAGTATGCTGGCCTCTGCCAAATCAATTGCATGTTGTCATGTGTGTTGCTGAACTCTTCATTTTGTCATGAGTTGATCTCTTGATACTCTTGTTCCTTTTCTTTCCCTTTTCTTCACCAAGTAAAACTTGATTATATGGGTGAAGCCCAAATACACAGGAACTGTACACAAGTTAATTGAAAATCAAAAGAAACTGCAAATTGAAACAAAGAAAAAACAGAATTGCGTATTTCCTTGCTTACCACTCAGCAGTTGAACTCAATTCTAGTAAAGAATACTGCACCCTTTGAAAAACACTCTTTTGTTTATGATTTATATATGGTAAAGCATGCTAATCATCCACCCAAGCAATCCCCTGCTTTGTTTCCTGTTATTTTATCAAATGATTAAGTCCTTTTAATTTCTTTGCAGGGATGCTGGATTTCATATTCTCATTACCAGCTACCAGCTGCTAGTGGCTGATGAAAAGTATTTTAAACGTGTGAAATGGCAGTATATGGTATTAGATGAAGCCCAAGCAATCAAAAGTTCTAACAGGTTTGGACTGAAATCTTCTTTGATGTTTATTAAGGGGTTTGAACATAATCATACTCCGTGGTCCTCCATTATTGTGGTATATTGAGTTTATGATGGAGTGATATCAGGTGCCACAAGATGAAACAAATTTAAGAAACCATTTTATTATTGGAGTGCCAAATATCCTTAGATTTTCATGTCTACCGGGTGTTTTTGTTTTTGTATTATTTAAGAAACCATGTTCATCTTAGGGTGCCAAATATTCTAAGTAAATGAAGGTTTATTATTTGAGCATCCAAAGAAGTGTCCAGGGGTGTACATGACGTGTTTTTAGTTGTCCCAGCATGGAAATCTCTTATGGAAGTAGTTTCCTACAGCTCATTGATTTTACATTCTTGTAGATTTGATAATATTTGTGGTTTGGTTCCCCTTGATCCTAGGACCTACCATTTATATTAAGTACGACTCAACTACAACTGCTGACATTTGAAAAATCCCTCTGATTTCATTTATTTCATTCTTGTCTCTTAAATATTGTGCGTGCTCATCCATATCTCATTTGATATTTGATCTTACAGCATAAGATGGAAGACACTTCTAGGCTTTAATTGTCGAAATCGTTTGCTACTTACCGGTACACCTATCCAAAATAATATGGCAGAGTTGTGGGCTCTACTACATTTCATTATGCCAACGTTGTTTGACAGCCATGAACAATTCAATGAGTGGTTTTCAAAAGGGTATGCATTTTGGACCTGAAATTCGTGCCTACAAACTCAAAAGTATTTTTGTTAATTAATTATTTTCTCAAATATTTCCAGAATTGAGAACCATGCGGAACATGGGGGTACTTTGAATGAGCACCAGCTTAACAGATTGGTTAGTACCCTGACTTGATACATGTAATCATTAATAAATTTTTGGATTGATTGCAGTTCTTCCTTGCCCTTCGGTCTGATCTAATGTTCCTAATTTGATAATTTTTGAAAAATGCTGGCTGTCAAATATCTCCTGTTTGCAAGATCTGCAATTTGTGAATAGGAAAAATGTATATAGTCCACTTTAAAATTCTGACTAAAACCAGTGTGTGTTGAAGAAACTTCTATGGAACATTCTGACTAGAAAAGAGTTGATTATGTTTTTTGTTTGACAATATTGACCAAACTATAACTTTCTGTATTGTAGAAATCACGAGGCTTATATGATATCATTTCCTATTTCACCATTCCATCTTACTTATCTGTCGACTGTACATAATGGGTTAATGTACTGTTTTAATCTTTTGTAGTGATCCCAGCGTTGTTGCTTCACACCTCTCTGTCATCCAAATATCTGACCTGTGCTATGAGATCTGAAATTTGCTCAAACGCTTCTAACTACTTCTGTTGTATTCTCCTTACAGCATTCCATTTTAAAGCCATTCATGCTGCGCCGAGTTAAAACAGATGTGGTTTCTGAGCTGACCAGGAAAACTGAGGTTACCGTGCACTGCAAGTTGAGCTCTCGGCAACAAGATTTTTATCAAGCTATCAAGAACAAAATATCTCTTGCTGAGTTGTTTGACAGCAATCGCGGTCATCTTAATGAGAAGAAAATTTTGAATTTGATGAATATTGTCATTCAGCTGAGAAAGGTATGCTATCTAACTAGATATCCATTGTGGTTTTCTTTTGTCATAAATTTATGTAGTCTATAGGATGCGGTATAATTATTAAACATGTTTTAATTATGTTGTTCTATTTTCTATAATATTGTTCGTATCAAGTGTTCTATTTGTGCAATGATAGGTCTGCAACCATCCTGAGTTATTTGAGAGGAATGAAGGAAGTACATATCTGTACTTTAGTGAGATACCAAATTCTCTTCTAGCTCCTCCATTTGGGGAGTTGGAGGACGTGCACTACTCAGGAGGTCAAAATCCTATAACATATTCGGTACTTTCTAGATCCTTTTTCCTATTACGCAATTATGTAGTTTTGTTTAGTGCATAGGTGAAATAATCACTTGGCTTGCACACTACACATGACATACTGGTCAATGAACAAAATGGGAGAGAGAAAGAAAGAGGGGGTGGTATATAGGTGTTGTGGGGAGTGGTGGAGTGAAAGTTGAAGTAGAGGGAGGCTCATGGGTAATTCCATTATTTGATGAGTAATTTGCAGGCATAACATCATTTCATGTCATTTTTCTGGCGCAAAAAATAATTTTAATGTGATCTGCACTTGTACTTTCCATATATTGTTGATTGTTTGAGCTATTTAACTTGATTTAGGAATCCGGGGGGTACTCTATTAGTGGTGGAGTGAAAGTTGAAATAGAGGGGGGTTCATGGGTAATTCCATTATTTGATGAGTAATTTGCAGGCATAACACCATTTCATGTCATTTTTCTGGCGCAAAAAATAATTTTAACGTGATCTGCACTAGTACTTTCCATATATTGTTGATTGTTTGCACTATTTAACTTGATTTAGGAATCCGGGGGGTACTCTATTAGATTTTAAAGTTTGAAGGAGTCATTAGAGCTGGTCAGAAAGTGCAAGGGGAAATGAAATGGCATTTGATTTCAATGATTTGTATGTACTGTGTACCGAGAGATTGAGTCAGAAGTTTCATATTTTACACCTCCCAATTTACTGGCTCCCCATATCTTGTAATCTTAAGTGATAATTTATCGAAGTGAAGTAAAAAACCAAAGACAACATTCCCTAAACTAATGTTTGATCACGCAAACCAATATTGCATGACATAACTTATTCTTGTCAGTCATGTCATGTTTACTTTATCTGGCTTCTCTTCCATTGTGAAGTCAAATCTAGTTCTTTAACTCTTTTCATGTGAGCCAAGAATTTATTTATATTTTGATTCGAACACTCCTTCACATGTGGGTTCTCTCTCCACCACTAAAGCCATACATGTGAAATGCAACCTATGTTAGGTTCAATTGCAGGATTCAAGCTCACCATTATTTTCAAAAGTTTATGTTGTTAGGTAGTGAGCTAAAGATATGTAGCCTAACAATCATGATGGACCACGAAACTTGTACTTTCAAGTCGCTCAAAGCTATGTCAAAAATGTTCCTTTGTGTTCTTATAACCTTTAGAAATTAAGTTCCTTCACGTTCTTTAACCTCTTAGAAATGTTCCTTTAAATAAATGCAGATTGGACCTATATGTAGAAGTGGGTATTTTTAATGATATCTGAAGAGGAAATTCAATACCTGCTTCTATCAAGTAATATGATGTTATTTATTGTACGAACTGCTAGCACAATAACTGTTTGTGACATAGGAGTTTTTCCAATATACTTATTCACCTGCAGAAATAAATTGAACCAGCTGCGTCCATGCGCTGGCATTTGTGCTTTTACTTTTCGTAACTTACGTACTGACTAAACTTTTAAACGGATTTTCTTTGTTTCATCCAGATCCCTAAACTTTTCTATCAAGAAATTCTCCAGAGCTCTGAAACTTTGTGCTCAGCAGTTCAACATGGTGTTTACAAAGAATCTTTTGAGAAATATTTTAACATATTTTCACCGGGAAATGTTTATCAATCGACACTCTTGCAAGAGAATAGCTCATCTGTTGGAAGTGGAACTTTTGGCTTTACTCGTATGATGGATCTGTCCCCTGCTGAGGTGGCATTTCTAGGAACTGGTTCTTTTATGGAGCGACTGATGTTTTCCATTGTGAGATGGGACCGACAATTTTTGGATGGGATTGTGGACTCACTAATGGAAACCATGAATAATGATTCTGAATGCAGTTATCTTGAGAGTGGAAAAGTGAGAGCTGTTACACGAATGTTGTTGATGCCTTCAAGATCTGTAACTAACTTTCTTCAAAAGAAATTGGCTACAGGCCCTGGTGATGATCCATTCGAGGCTTTAGTTGTCTCTCATAGTGACAGGCTACTCTCTAACACTAGGCTTCTTCATTCAGCATACACATTCATCCCACGAACTAGAGCTCCCCCGGTATGTTTATATTTATTCATGTTACTTTCATTTTTTTCTTTAGAATTATTGTGGTTATTCAGATTGACCTAAAGGAACAGAAAAAAAATTGTTGTTATCTTTGTTAACACTAGATTGATGTTTACTTGATCAAGATTGTATAATGTTGATAGGTCAATGCCCATTGCTCAGACAGAAACTTTGCTTACAAAATAATTGAAGAACTACAATACCCTTGGGTGAAGAGGTTGTTTACTGGGTTTGCACGCACATCTGACTTTAATGGACCCAGAAAACCTGAGACTCCACATCATTTAATTCAAGAGATTGATTCTGAACTGACTGTTTCATGTCCGGCTCTTCAGTTAACGTACAAGATTTTTGGTTCTTGTCCTCCTATGCAAAGCTTTGACCCAGCAAAATTGCTCACCGTAGGACTGCTTATCCTTTTTTGGTTTCTTTCATATTCTTTAGTGACCACTTTTTTTTGTGTTTTTGAAAAATGAGCTTTTCTACTTTATATATAGGATTCTGGGAAACTTCAGACGCTTGATATACTGTTGAAACGCTTGAGGGCGGACAACCATCGTGTTCTCTTGTTTGCTCAAATGACAAAGATGCTGAATATTCTTGAGGTAATTCATGTCTTATTGGACCTTGGTTGCTCTAGGTTTGTGGATTCACAATCGGTTTTATAATTTGGTTCCCATTTCAACCATACGTAACTATTATACAATGATTTTCACTATAATTTTAAGACAGGTGTGATCATGTTAGTCAGAATCAATGTTTCATGGATAACCCTGCCCGGGCGAAAGCTAGGTGGGAGGCGATTGCCTCTTGGGACCAAAATTATTAACATATAATTATATATATATATATATATATATATAATACAATACTTTGTAAAACAAATATATCCATTGCCATTCAAAAGTGCACAAGTCACAAACAAGTTTAACTCAAACATTTGGTTTTAATTTAAAAACCCTGCCCAAAACGTCATTTTGGGTTTGGGTAGTTTCTTATTTATATAAAAAGAACGCCCAATGGAACGCTTCAGCTGCACCTCAGCTGCCTAGGCGCGTCTCGACCACGTCTAGGAGAGTTTAAGCCTACTCCTGCTTGCCAGAGGCGTTTTCATCATCGCCCGCCTCCAAAGCTGCCTAGGCTCTCCTTAAGACACGTTTTTTAAAACACAGTATACGTGATGTGTTCTTTATGTGCCTTAGGGAATTTTTATTTAGGGTAGTTGCCCTTTAGTTTTGTACCTGTTGATAAGTAAGATGGTCTGACAAACTTGAATTAGATGTTCCCATTATGCTTAAGTTAATTGAGTTATTTGCTAGACAGCCTGTCCTTTTGGAAACTTTTACTGCACCATAGTACAATTTGTATTTCTCATGCTGATAACTCGAAATGCAGGACTACATGAACTACAGGAAATATAAATACTTACGACTTGATGGATCTTCCACCATTATGGATCGGCGAGACATGGTCAGAGACTTTCAGCAACGGTAGGGATTTCATGATCAGATGAAGGCTTTGATGAGCAGTGTCTGTTCTCATCTCACACTTGTTCATTAACATATTAGATGATTGTCTTCTTGCAGGAGTGATATTTTTGTGTTCTTGTTGAGTACAAGAGCTGGTGGACTTGGCATTAACTTGACAGCGGCTGATACTGTCATATTTTATGAAAGTGATTGGAATCCAACCCTGGATCTACAGGCAATGGATAGAGCTCATCGGCTGGGTCAGACAAAAGATGTGAGTTTATGTGCTGAATCCAACCATAGACTTTTGGTTTTCCAAGTTTTGTTTTCTTTGATAAAGACAATTTATTAATATCCCCCTGTGTTTTGACAAAAACGCCAGTTTCTCCCTGCAGTTGTAACTGGGTTACTTTTCTCCTGCGCTTTCATCCCGCATCCTACGTTAACATATTTCCATTATTAAAACCATTAGTTTGCTTATGTGACACATATTTAGGGCCTACAGATCCAGTGGTATATCACCATTTGGATACGTTTTTTTTTTTTTAAAAAATTACAATTAAAATCTAGAAAAATGACTCAGAAAAAAGGAATCTTTTGATAAAGGAAAAAAATGGTTTGAAAGCTTTAATTAAATAAGCCTCTACACCATCCTACCAACTGCCACCACCAAATCCACTCCCTTATCGCAGCCACCAGCAACCCCCTTCCCCTATTGATTCTACCCCACCCACCCCCATCCCTTAAAATTTCAGTGCCATGGTCCACCCTCTCCCTAGAGCCCGGTTCATCATCCAAACCATTGCACCCCAGACAAACCTCACCATGCATTCAGGCCAATCCCAAACTCCCCCTTCCTGGTGACCCTTTGGCGACCCAAACTGAAACAAATCCCCACTGCCCACAAACCTCCTTCCCAAAAGGATCCAAATACTCCAAATATGAAATTTCATTTTTGGTGGTCCTATTTCCAAATTTTATGGCTTTTAATTTGTTATTAGGCATATTAAGCTTCTTAATATCTTTGGGTACATGTGAAACTTCAATATCATCTCCATTAGGTTTGAAATATTAGACAACTGGGTAATTTGGAAGTAGGCATTAGGGGAATGGGGAAGGGGTAGTGGCGGGAGAGAGGCGTTGCATCTGCGGGGAAATGGGGTAAGGATGCTGTGTAGGGGAGGAGAGTGGGTGGGTTTGCCAATGCGGACATGAGATGGGGATGGTTAGGGTGGTGGGTATGCTATTTCTTTTTCTACATTAAAAAATTTATAAAATTACTAAAAATGTAAGCAAACTATTGGTTTATATGACGGAGAGGGTAACGTGAGACACAAGATGAAAGCACATGGGGTAAACTGAACTAGTTTAAGTTCAGGGCGGAAAGTGGGATACCAATAAAAGCCAAATTATAAACTTTATTGAATGATTACGTAAGAGGGAACAAGACATGAGATGCCATATAAGCAAGGCGTCACCAAAGCACCATACAAATGGTTTTACATATTTTATGGTCAAGCCATTTGGAAGATGTAAATGCATTTAAGTTCTGTAAATATAATTGTAGATTTCATGTATTCATCGTGCAGGTCACCGTGTACCGACTTATTTGTAAAGAAACAGTTGAAGAGAAGATCCTGCAAAGAGCAAGTCAGAAAAATACTGTCCAGCAGCTTGTAATGATGGGTGGTCATGTTCAGGGTGATATTTTGGCTCCTGAGGATGTTGTATCTTTACTTCTGGATGATGCTCAGTTGGAGCAGAAATTAAGAGAAATTCCGTTACAGGTGCTTTTTAAGTTCGCCTTTCAATTCTTTTGAACTTTAGCTCATTTCGTGACAGAATCTGTGTTGCATTCTAAAATTTGGTAATCCTAATTCGTATCATATGGTTTTTTCAGGTTAAGGATAGACAAAAGAAGAAACAAACAAAGGGTATACGAGTGGATGCAGAAGGTGATGCCTCTTTAGAAGATTTAACAAACCCTGCATCTGCGCCTCAGGGAACCGGATATGAGGACTCTCCAGATATGGAAAAAGCAAAATCTAATAATAAAAAGGTAATGATTTTTATCTGGAATCCGTTGTATGTACAGGGATAACAACTGGCAAAGTATAATTGCTATTTATATATGTTCCTTTGAGTTCTGCTTATTATCACGTGTGCACAGAGGAAAGTGGCAACGGGCAAGCAAACTACAAGGCCGAAGAATTCACAAAGCATGGACGAACTTGATTCATATGAATTGGATGATACCTTACCAAATACTGATCCACAAGCTACGAAACCCAAGAGGCCGAAGAGGTCAAAGAAGAGTGTGAACGAAAATCTTGAGCCGGCATTTACTGCAGTTTCGGAACAGACCCAGTATCCACCACGGAGTTAGTTTGGATCTGGTAGTTGCAGAGCAGAACCCAGGCAAAAGATATCGCAATTACAAGGGCAGTCCATTTGGCCCCGTTGTGGCTGGAAACGACGGGACCATAGTTACAGAAAACAAAGCCAGAGCTGTATGATGTTTGTACAATATATTCATAATATGTTCAGGGTTGAGTGGCCTTCAAATTGTAAGATGGGGAAGGGTTGTATCTTCTTTTGCACACCTTAAGCAGCAGTAATTTATGCACACCTTCACTTTTGCCTCGACTCCAGCCGAGTTGATTCTCTTCCAGCACCGTGGCTCCCAGCCACGTTGTCCCACGCCTCGAGTCTAACCGAGCCATTCCACTTAGTCAAGCACGGCTCCAGCAGAAAAAGAAAAAAAAGAAGGAATATTTTTTTTTCTTACCTTTGGCGCGGCAAGGAGAAAAAGACAACAGCGATAAACTCTTCGCAGGCAAGCAAAGAAGACGACCAGGGGATGGGGAACAGTTTCCTTTGGGTTTCTCTTTCTTGTTGGGAGAATAATTGCTCTTTGGGTTTATTTAATCCTCTAATTAGTCTAAAATAAGTTCTCGAGGCAGTTGATTTCCCTTTTCAGAAAACTTTAACTTCCAAGTCTAAGCCCAGAATTTAAGGCAAATGAGGAAATATTTCTATGCTCGCCTACTCAACTTCGGATTTATACACTTGATGCCCTTTCTTACACGCATCACATCAGGTGTAGGGGCATTTGTGGAGTAAAAAATAATATGCAAAAACTTGGAGCTAACATGTGGCATTTTACCAACGAAAGACGAGAGTGCCTTTATTAAATTGGCGAGGTCCGCATTTAATCCACACGTAATTCAACATCTCTTGAGGCCTGAACAGCTGGATACAATCTCATCAAGCTTTTGTGCCCATAGCAAGGAGAAAAATCAAAGGTATTAAAGATATGGTTAATTACTAAATCCTATCTTTATACTCTCTTACTTGAAGGTCAACTCTATTAAGTAAGGAATTACAATCAAATTCAATCTTGAATCCCACAAGACATTATTTATTAAATTATATCATGTTGTTGTCAATAGTGGAAATTTTTTCCAACTTGAATTTTCCATTCTTGTTGAAAAATAAAATAAAATAAAAGGTGGTCATGAAGTACTAACTCTTGTGTTGGGTACACCTGCAGTCCATTTGGACCTTGAACCCCTGGCCCAGCAACAAAAAGAACTATTGTATTCTAAATCGGAGGCAGCAAGAAAATCTCTAGCAATACAAGCAGACATTTTGCCAAAGTTCAAAATTTAATCCCGCTACCACCACCAAACTCGAGACTGGTGAAATTATTCTTCATCTGTCCCAATTAGAAAGGAAAAAAAAAAGCATATTGTACTGTTTCGGCCACAAATAAAAACAAGGCATGCTATGGCAAAATCACACGATTCCAGTTCATCAACTTCTAAATCCAATTAGGATTATATCCCAAGGTCGACGATCAACCCACTTCACTCCACACCCATCCGAGGGCTCGGAGTCAACTTTCCCCGAAATGCGGCTGTCACGCAAATGATCCGACTCAGAAATATGCCGATAAGCGCGTCATCTAACATGCTGATATTACCATAACAATCGTGCGAAACAGAATAGGACACAGCTGAAGGCCACCAATAAAAAATTGCATTCATTGTCAGCGCCAAATGATCAATTTACCATGCTCCAGCTCAGTGATAAGATTGATGTTGCTCATTCTCCAATGCCTATAAATAGAGCTAGAGGCCTTCAAGCTCAAGACTTTCATTAAAATTAATCTCTACAATTATACAAACTTCAAGTGATCCTTCAATTAACCCAACTAATTTTCAGTTAGCAAAACCCAAATTGCTCTTCAGTAAAAACCTGTAGCTCTTCAGCTACAATCCTAAAGCCTTCATTCGAAGCAAACATTGTTTATAATTCCTAAGATCTAAAAATTTTACAGTTATGTCACTTTGTGGTATGAATTGGTTCACGTGCAATTCCAACCACCCTGATCACCTCTATGAGGCAATGTTTCCTGTTTAGTCTAGCTCGATACTAGCGATCTTGGTAGACTCCTTTAGCATTATCTTTACGTTTTCAAGTTTATTTACTTTTCAAGTCATGTGAACTGGCTTTTGTTGGAAAGGTTAGGGTCTAATTGCTATATTAAATCACATGAAAAATAAAGAAATAATTCATGTAATCATATATCACAATAATGCATGCACATGAGTAACCAATGTTAAATGAACATGATATAATGAATTAGAAAAACCTAGAAAATATGGTCGAGGCAAGTGTTGGACATTTTTTCCTTAAGACAAGTTTACACCCCAATACGGTGCTCATGGTTGATCGGCGCATGTCTCCCAAGATACAACGACCACGTCCTTGTAATGGTAGCACTCCCAATCACAAGGCTCCATGAACCACGATTGTGTTTAAAACTCTCATATGGACTCAATGAGACTCTCTAATATTCAGTGCACTTTATGTATGATTATGTAAACAATGAAAAGTTCTTATGTGATTATAGGGGGGCTTCCCTATTTATAGAATGTGAGATACCTCTTTGGAAAATATGTGACTATTCATGAAGAGTCAAAAGCAAAATGTTGACCATGGCATGCCAATGACATGCCAAGCCTCGCAAAATGTCGACCATGGCTTGTCATTCCTCGCAAAATGTCGACCATGGCATGACTTTGACATGCCAAATTGCACAGCAAGCATGTCGAAACGCGTCGAAAATCTTCAAACAATGTCAAGTCCCATTTTTATTGATAATTTTCCCGCACAATCCGCACCCCACAGTTAGTATATGGGGGAAGCTGTCTGATAGTGCGTCTCGCGCGAACTTCAAAAGCGAATCGGGTTAAAATTCCTGAACTGGGACGCTGTGGTTGACGGCAACGTTAGGGAGTTCGGAGACGTCGGCGGGGTCGAGGCCCCTACTGCAAGTCGGCAATTGAGCGGCGGGCGCACGCGTTGCTTCTAGCCTGGATTCTGACTTAGAGGCGTTCAGTCATAATTCAGCGCATGGTAGCTTCGCGCCACTGGCTTTTCAACCAAGCGCATCATGGCATGCCAAGCCTCGCAAAATGTCAACCATGGCATGCCAATGACATGCCAATTCAGAGCGTAGGCTTGCTTTGGGCACTCTAATTTCTTCAAAGTAACAGCACCGGAGGCACGACCCGGCCAATTAAGGCCAGGAGCATATCGCCGGTAGGGATTATGACTGAACGCCTCTAAGTCAAAATCTGGGCTAGAAGCGACACGTGCGCCCACCGCCCGATTGCTAGCCTGCAGTAGGAGCCTCGGCTTGCGAGGACAGTGGGAACCTCATTAATCCATTCATACGCGTCACTAATTAGATGACGAGGCATTTGGTTACCTTAAGAGAGTCATAGTTACTCCCGTCGTTTACCCGTGCTTGATTGAATTTCTTCCTTGAATTGAAGGAGGGGCATCGCCCCTCTTTTTGGAACAAAGGTCTGCTCGTAGGCCGAACCGGACGGAAGACATTGTTAGGTGGGGAGTTTGGCTGGGGTGGCACATTTGTTAAAAGATAACGCAGGTGCAGGTTCGACAATGATCCTTCCGCATGTTCACCTACGGAAACCTTGGTACGACTTCTCCTTCCTCTAAATGATAAGGTTCACTCTTCATTTGAGTATACATGTCTTTCTACGAAAAGGCTCCATTTCTAATTTTCATTTAATTAATAAATTTAATATAATAATATTATTATTAAATTTTCCAACAGCTTTTCAGTCCAGAATCACTTTTGTAGATGTTTGTAATCTCAAATCTATCATAAAATGATTACATCTAGTTTATTTATTGTCATTTGTACTTTCAGTTTCAGTTATCACTTAGGCATACATTTATTCCGCACTGAATGTCAAGTCCTCATTCCCTTGTGGCATAAAAAATAATTTAACCTAACCAACATCCTACTTGGTGCACAATCATTTGGTTAAGAAGTCAAGTCTATGCCTAAACACAACACAACTCTACACACACTACTGGCTGTTGGTCGCCTCCAACCAAGGTCTAAAAGATGCTAGGTGCTAGTTGGGCAGCGGGCTAGGGCCTAGCTCCTAGGCAGACTAAGTGAATTTAAGTAAATCTATTATATTTTGTGTAAATAATTATCTGCTTATACTTAAAATATATATAATTTCATCATAAACTACTAAAAAGAATGACATATACTATGAAGTATTGGAACATAATGAAAGCATGGGGGAATAAGGATATATGTGTGCTCATTTAAGTATGCAACAAGTCTCTTACAATTTAAAAAAAAAATACAAAATGAAAGTTATCTATTTTTCTATTTAAGTGAGTTGCGACCTATGCAGGTGTCTAGGTGGGTCTGGACGGGTGCTTAAGCGATCTAGGCGCCATTTCTTAATTTTCAAATTTCTAGTTTTGACACCAACATACTCCTTTGGTATCCATTGATTAGTCCGTATGTTACATAACATGAGTTGACAGTAAATTTATATTTTATATGTATAATAATACATATCTATAAGTGATCTAATTATGCAAAAAAAAATACAATAAAATAAAAAATATACAATATTGTTGGATTGTAAAACATTTTAAGAACCAAAAATAAAAGTTGATCTCCCACTATTAATCGTACAGTCCACGTGTAGAATGTAAAAGTAAAAATGGTTTGATACACAATAATAATATTCATGTTGAAAATAATAGTGGGTAATGAATGCACGTAGAAACTGAAAACATTGGGTAGATGTTCAATGCCCATAAAAATCAATCTTGACTTAGGAGATGAAGGAAGATCATATTGTCAAAGATGTGTGCTTGGAGTTGCTCTATAAATAGAGCACTTCGTAATGCTTTCAACATACAGATTAAAACAAAAAGATCAATAATATCATTCATTCCTCCATCTTTTATTCGTCATTCACTTGAACTATAATTTTAGTGTGATATTTTACATCTGCTTCGTACATATCTAAAAGATTATCCCTCTAACTTTTACATATTTATAACAATTCATACATTTATATATTTGATTTAATTTACAATCAGCAGTTCAGCACCATGGAAATGTTAGATTGGAAGTCTTCATTAGCATGACGGTACTCATGTTCAAGTCCTCATCATATGGTCCCAGATCCTACCGACTAAACATGGGATTAAACAATGCTGGAAATCCTTCAAGTCTAAATTTATTTTCTTTGAAATTTAAAGCAAGATCAGATATATGTGCCTAGAAAATGCCTCTTCAGAATCAAGTTGGAAATCAGGATTGCTAATTAAACTTCTACACTGATAACACACTGTGTCATGCTCTGATAACATTTATGTGAATTTTGATATTTTGCATATTTCTTATCAACCCAACACAGTGTACCAAACGTATAAATGCGTAGTTTTTTCTAAACATTCTTGTTTCGTCTAAACTAAATTTTAATATAATTAGCAGTTGCAAATGACTTTGTGCTTTCTTGCATACCCAAGCTGGAAGGATAATTAATTATCTATGTGATAAAGGCAGCCGGCTTAACTGATGGGGATCTCTCCTAATCTGTCTTG